ACAATGTTGGATCGATAGGGACGGGAATTATCATCCATAAGGAGGAAGTCAGGATAAGATACTGCAGCGTAGAGTCTCCTAATGAGATGTAAGACTTCATCCCGATACAGCGAGTCCTTCATAGAACCGTAATTAAAGATCTATAATATTCCATTAGAATGGTGCGATATTCCATTAGAATTTCAGCCCACACCATGATTCTGTCACCTCAGAATGTGTGATCTTCTAAAACGCTGTGCTGTGTTTGATTCCTTATTTCCCAGCTCGCTCCAAAGCTACACGCTTATCTCTAGATTCCAGGATAAATCTGAATTCACCGGTGAACAAGAGGTAGCACCAATCTGATATTCTAACTGAGAAGCTGACGACACCATTAAATTTTTGCTCTTCTGGATTGAGCAGTTATTAAATTCCTTGTTCGTAGATACCTTCTGGTTGTCATAGCAATATATCTGTATTCAGAAGCGGCGGTAACTCTTGGTTGGCCGGGCATAGATCTCCTGTTTGATTTGTTTCGAATTTTTTCCACAATCCAAAAGTTACTGAACGATCAACATCAAAGAAAAGAGGACATCTTTGATTGCTTATTCTCCTTCAATTTGTCCCACAGTGTGCCAGATCTCACTAAAGGCCAATCATCATCTTTCAACCACAGAAATAACAGCATTATCAAAACCTATCTAAAGAAATTTATGAACTCTTTTTTTTAATTATATCCAATAGTAACCATTAGTCATTATAAGCGCTGGCCACTTCTAAGGCTGGAAGCGATGGTAACGAAATTCCTAAGCCGTTCAGAATGATAGCATCTTTAGTGACAGCCTAGTGGCTCTAACGCACGTTATTTGTGTACTATCGTTTACAAAGGCAGCAATTTTCACCGACTGAAATTAAACTAGGCTTTCGAAAATTGCTAATTTGCATTGCAATCTTTTGGAAGCCAGTGTATGTTAAGTCTCTAACATCCAAAACGAAAGAACTAGCACGTTATCTTGAGCAAATTCGAGCATAATAATTCCAGAATACTCCGGCAAATGCCTTATTAGTCTTTTGAGCTACGAATAGAAAAGAGGTTTTTTAAGCAACATAACAATGCATTTAATAACATTATTGTTTTCAAACACTACTTAATTACCTTAAAGAATGCATGCAACTAATGACATTCTTCAGAGAGTTTTTAATCTTTTACAAAATTAGGGTCTATATAAATAGTTTTATCTAGGAAATCTAATGATGAAATGGGAAAGATCAAGATGAGGATCTTGCCAAGGATCAGTACTCTAGATTGTATATTGCTCTTTTGAAAGAGCTATTAAGCTTATACTAGAAGATTGGGTGTTTACTCAAGAGTTTCAGGCAAAGTTAATAAGGATTATTTCTGATGGAATGCGCAATGAAGTAATAAGAACAAGATTAACCTTTCTGGCTAATTCTAGGATTAAATCCATTTACCATCTTGTTTAAGAGTTGTTTTATTTTGTAGCCTTACGAAATACAACTGTATACATACTTTTTTTTAATTTCAGTTATTATTAATAAGTTACCAGCGGTCGAAGGTTCGCAATATCATATTTTACCTGAAGTTAAAGGTATTGTTTAAACTATTTTGCGATATTGCTGTTGAACTGAATTTTATGGTTTAAGTGCGAAGAACGTGATATTTAATAAATAAATGTAACACACAAAATGTTTAAAAACGCCCCTTTGGACGTAATTTAAAAACTGAAACGTTTCAGATTTTTTTTTTTTTTTTTTGTTAAAATTTACTTTTTTGGTTCTTTTAAATTCTGTTAATGTCTTAACAGAGTTCGCTCTACGATTTTAACTTTAATCACATATGACTATGGTGATATATAACAATTATTTTCGCCTTTTAAAACTTTTAACTAATGCAATGTAACTTGAACTAATTTTATGTATTTTATCTGTAGAGATTACAGAAAAGAATTTACTTCCTCTAAAGATATATATATATAGGAATGATTACTCACAATCAACGGAACAATGAAGTACGTGTGACGCTACATTTTCACGAGATCAGCCAATCCGTCCTGTGGTTAAAATCACATTGTTCATTTAAACTTCTGTTCAATTAAAAAATCTGAACTCGTCATCTCTTAAGATCGTAAGCTATCATTTATGGAACATGAAAAAAATTCATTATTATTAGGCAGGTAGACAATAACTAAAAATGAAAACATTTCAAAAGTCGTATTTCATAAATCTCCAAAATACGGCTGATTATTTTAGAAATTTCAAAAATCTCATATTTTTAACTCGACTTTTCGATCTACCGGATTATTTTAAAATCGAAGATTTGGGGTAGTAGTTTAGCCATAAAAAATTATATGCATGAAGCATTCCACATAAAATAAAAATAAAATCTCTATCGAATTAAAAAAAGTCTGAAAGATTTCATATTTTAACGGTCGCCCAGAAGGGTTTGTTAAGGTTTGTACGCTGTCGCTGAGCTCGCAGTCTACCAGTCTGCTGTCACCCCTGCTAGCCCACTTTAGTTCTCGTCTTTTTAGCTTCATCATTAAGCATCGTTTTCTTCGCACTTTACGGTTCCCGCACACAGCTGAACAGCAAAACCACAAAACTTTTAAATGCTGCATAGACACTTGGAAGACCGAACCTTGAATTTCGAATCTGTGTTATTACCAATTTCATATTTTGTAAAATTTTAACGAATTTTTTTATTAACAAACTCAAAGTTTAAAACGAGTAGTGGCAAAACTGTGCTGAATAAAGAATTTTTATCTCTACCCCGCGAGTTTGTCTATCGGGAATTCTAAATATATGCTGTTTTAAAATGTTTTGTGATTTTGCTGTTGAACTCAATTTTATGCAGCGTAAACGTCAACAACGTGATATTTAATAAAAGAAGAAAACTCACAGAACGTTAATAATGAAAGGACAAAAAAGGTTTTGCAAAACCATCAAATTGAACATTTATATAATGAATTAGGAAAAGACGAAAAAGAATGTAAAAATGTGTGCCAACAGGTGACAGGTGACAGCAGGGCCGGACACCCGGACGGCTTACAATGACTACTCGGGTGCTGTCCGGACCCTGCAACTATCTGTAGCTGAAACTTTAAATAGACATAAATATAGTAATTTACAAATAGACTTGATCGTGTAATCGCACAATGCGTCAATGTACATAATGCAACAAAGATACTGTAAACTCAAAGATAGACACAATACACCAATACACATAATTGTGACACACTAATACGCTATACACCAGTATTCTATACACTAATATACTATACACCAGTATACTATACAATAATTCACTAATATACTATACACTAAAAGATAGACACAATACACCAGTGCGCACAAATGCGACACACTAATATACATTGACACTAATACATAAGTACCATGTACACAAAAATACACATAGGTAAGATAATACAATTATTCTATTACACTACTGTAACATACACGTGGATACATACAATACACTGAGATAGGTAGAAACTTACGCTAAGTTACAATATATAAAAAAGTTAAGTATTGATACACATAGATACTGCGTAAATTCTATATATTTTAAAATACACTTTTGTGTAAATATTAATAATACACAGTACTACTACAGGTGTTACTCTGTATGTTCTTAGATCTTGAAACTTGAAACATGACAACATGATGCTAGAATATATTTATAGACACAATAAAACCAATGACACGATGCGTCAATATACATAAATGTTTCACACTAATATACTATACACTAAAAGATAGATACAATACACCAATGTGCATAGATGCGACACACTAATATACTATACACGTATATACTAAACACTAATACACGATACACTAAAATATAGGCACAATACACCAATGCACATTAATGCGACACACTAATATACTTTACACTGATATACATTGACACTGATACGTAAGTACCATGTACACAAAAATACACGTGAATTAGATTATACAACTATTCAATTATACTATTGTAACATACACGTGGATACAATACACTGATAATACGTGAATACAGTACACGTAAATAAGATTAAACAATTATACTATACTACTGTTACATACACGTGAATGCAATACACTGAAATATGCAGGCATAGGCATATACGCATATGAGAACACTAAATACTACGTGGATTCGACATATTATGAAGTGCACATTAATGTGAATATTTAATACATGCCTACTACAGGGGCTGAGCCTCTTAAAAACTTGACAACATGATAATAGAAATTTACACTTTGGCTGGTAGAGATGTACATAAGAAACAGGCGGACATAAACTGTAAGAGAATTCTAGACTGCACTATACACTTGTCTATGCATTATTCTCTTGGTGCGTGTACGATGGGTACAGTGCATGCCGAGGTACGTTGTTAATGCGTCTGTGGCACGCTGAGCATATATGCTAGCGAGGTACTCACTTTGCCACGTATGTTACAGAAACTGGCATGTGCGGCACCTATGCAGGGCTGCAGAGCTCCTGCCCCAGTACTTCTAAGTGATCCATGATCTTTTTGATTTTGTCCATAAGTCGTGGTTGTTTCAGCACGAATCTTTTAAAGGCGGCCACATTATTCGACGGGAGTTTAACGTGCCATTGTGTGGTGAGTTGACACTCCGTCAGGTAGTGGTCGGGGGACCCGATTTTTCCGCAGACACATAGGTCTGTGGAGGATATATTTCTCTCTGCGAAGTAGGTCGGAAACGGCCCATGTCCTGTGATGAATCTTGTTAAGAAGGGCGCAGATATGAGTCGTTCCGTGTCCACTTTTCGTATGAATTCGAAAGTTCGCCGACTCTGTGGTGACGTGTTCCATTCCTGCTGCCACTGCGACAGAGCTGACTGCCAAGTCTGCCGCTTGAGAAGTGACTTTGGTAAAGGTGGGTCTATTTGCACCGCATCCCGGTCCTGTGCTGCCTCTTTTGCCAGGGTATCTGCGCGTTCGTTGCCCTGGGCACCAACGTGCGCTTTTACCCAAGAGATTTCAATTTTTTTTTTGGACCGGACTCGTATTTCTTAGTGTCTCCTGAATTTGGGACACGAGTGGGGAGGTGTGGCGTGGGTCGTTGATGGCGTATAGTACCGATAGGCTATCAGTATAGATTGTAAAATCTTCTGCTGTGGTAGTTTGTGCCCATTCTATTGCTTTCAGCAAAGCAAGGGCTTCCGCCTGGAAGACCGAATTGTGCGGAGACATATGGCACTTCCAGGTTTGCACTTCAGTGCCATTATGGAAAACTGTATATGCGCTGCCGACTGCATTGTCCATCTTCGACCCATCCGTGTAAATCATGAAGCCCGGGCCCTCTATGGATGGTGGTAATTCAGGGGCGAAGTGAGTCACAACACCTTTCCCGTAATCTGAAGGGTGCGTTTTAAGTTTTGAACTTTTAAACTCGAAGTCTGCAGGGTCATAGCTGAACTCCCCAAATCGTGCTTTTCTATGCAGTTGGGAAAACATTGTAATTGCGGCTTCCTGCTGTGCTTTTATTGGTAACGGGATTAGTCCCGCCAGAACTGCTGCGGCTGCTGTCGACGTTGTTCGATATGCCTTTGTAATCGCCAGTACGAAAGGTCTTTGGGAACTTTGAAGAATTTTTTGTTTCCTGCAGGTCATGGGGTTTGCCCAGATTGCCGCCCCGTAGATCATGATCTTTTCTGCTACTGCAGAGTATAGGATCTTTAGAATATGGGGACGCAGTCCCCATTTGGAGCCTTGCATTTTCCTTAGATTCATGGCTATTTTTAATGCTTTTGTTCTTTGCGATCTTAAATGGGGGATCCAGGTAAAGCCTTCATCTAGTATGATACCTAGGAGCTTCATCTCTTTAACTCTTTTAATCCTGTGACCTGCCATCGTAATTGTCGGGTTTCTTTGTAAGGTCTGGCCCGGTTTATGGTAGATGATATATTTAGATTTTGAATGCGAGATGTTAAGCTTCTTAGCCTTGCAAAGGTCATAGAACATGTCAATGACTTCCTTGCAGTTTTGTTCAAGGATGACGCGGCTTTTCCCACTGACCACGAAAGTGGCATCATCTGCGAAGGCTGCGACTGTTGTGTGAGCCGGCCATTCTGCTTTTAGAATCGAGTTAAATGTTAAGTTCCACAGGTCTGGACCTGCGCATGATCCCTGTGGGCAGCCTCTTTGCTGTGGCCTGGTAATTATTCCACTATTGTGAACCGCGATGAAGCTGCGGTTACTGAGATAACTTTTAAAAAATCTGTAGGATGTTATTTGGGATGTTAGCTGCATGTAAAGCTTCTAGGATTGCCGGCCACCACAGGGAGTCAAATGCACTTTGCAGATCCAGACTGAGGACTGCCACATGCTGTTGTTGTTCTTTGCGCGTAGTCGCTTGACTTCCTCGCAGACGTGCTCCAGGACATTAAGCGTAGAGCGATGCTCCCGAAAGCCATATTGTGCATCTGAGAGAAACACCGTTTTTTTGCTATATGATGCTTCAGCCTGAGAACGAGAAGCTTCTCGAAGAGCTTTCCCAGGACTGGCAGAAGGCAAATTGGTCTAAAGGACGAAGGATCATTGGGGTCCTTGCCTTCTTTCGTAAAGAGGACCACTTGACCCGTTTTAAAATGTGTTGGAAAGTGCTTAAGACTTAGAAGTTTGTTGAAGTAAGCCACTAGCAATCTCGGGCAGGCTTTTTAGGATGCCTCTCAAGATCCGGTACTCTATAGAGTCCGCCCTTGGTGCCTTTTTGACCGGGAGAGTTCGTATAACAGTTGTGACCTCCTTCCTTAACTGTAAATGGGGGATCATCTGGGACTGTCGTGGACAGGCTGTATGCCTCATGTTCAGAAGAAAACATCATTCCCATCATGTGGGAATACTGCGTCAAGGATGCGTTGAAGTGTGGTGGCCATGAAGCCTTGTGACCCTATGTGTGAACCTATGTGTGAGCATACGTGCGATGTAATGGTGGTATGAATACTTTGCTGGAGGCTATCTTGTGTAGTACGCCGAAAACTTCAGTGTGCTGTGTGCAGAAGTTCCTCCAGCTATCGAGCTTTGCCTTCAGAATGTCCTTCTTGTACTGAGCCTGCGCTCTTTTGTATTCTACGCTGAGTTGTTGTCTACGATCCGGGTCCCGTTCTTTTTTCAACCTTCTGCGCATCGCCCGCGTGCGGCTTCGCTTGGTCCGTAGCTCCTTTGTCCACCAGCTGGCAGCTTTAAGAATTTTGGGAGATTTGATGCTCATCGTACCGTCGCATGTTTGCTGTATTAACTGCACCAGGTTACATGTGATGCGATCTGCGTCTTGTGCCGTGGAACAATTGTTCAGTTCATCTCCTTGCTGTTCCAGGACCAGTCTCATTTCTCGGGTGAATTTCTTTCTTAAGTTATGTGCCGAGGTTCTATATCGTTTAAGTGATAATCGGGAATGGGGATGCATGAGACTGAAAGTGATGTATCGATGGTCTGAGTTTGTGGGCGTATCCTGCACCTCCCAGTTCTGGATTTTTGTAGCCAACTCTACTGTGGACAGCGTGAGATCTGGCCATCCCTGTCCAGTAGTTGTCTCGAAAGTGGGGAGGCATCCTTGGGTGTTGTGTAGAATTAGGTCATGACTCGCTATAAAGTCCTCAACAAGTCTACCACGTGGATCAGTAAATGAGTAGCCCCACACTTCAGAGTGGGAGTTAAAGTCTCCGACTAAAAGGTGGTTGCTGGAGGGATAGTCTCGGAGTGTTGTCTGCAGCTGGTCAAGATATTCTGCGGCTTCCGCTGTGGGTGGGATGTAGGTATTCGTAATCAGGAGACTTAGTCCCACTGCATCAATTGCTATGGTAACTTGGTCTCTTGACAGTGAGATACTTGTAAGTGACCATTTGTTACGGCAGCAGACTATGGCAGCTCTTGACCCTTCTCTTTCCGGGTTCTCGAAAATGGTCCAGGATAAGGGGAATTCTGCCACCCTTCCTGCTTGGATGTATGGTTCTTGTATGAGCAGAAGGTCAGCCTCTGTTTCCATTGCATAGTGGACTAATTGGGCGGTAGCTGCCCGAGCTCTCTGGAGGTTCACCTGTATGATCTTAACCTCTTCTTGCGCATCTAGGAGAGAGTTAATGTCCTGTCTTTCGGTACTATTACTTTGTTGTGACATTCTGTAAGGTTACAACGTTGGGTGACGATGGAGGGAAAATGAGACAGATTAGAGAGTATGCTTTTGGTGTCACCATTATGCAGTATAGGTACACTTGGTATTCAATTGGTGACTGAGGTACCGTAATCTGTCCGGCCCTTGATCTTAAGCACTTGCAAGTGAAAGGAGGGGCAGTCAGGGGCATATGCGGCATGCACAGTGTCGAAGTCTCTCCCCGAGTGCTGGTTGGCAATTAGACAGTTTACACAGCTCGGGCTATCAGCCATGCATTTTTTGACATCGTGGTTTCCACCACAATATGCACAATGATACCTAAATTTACAGTCTCTTGCCGAATGTTCGAAGTCCTGGCAGATGAAGCATCTGCGTGCCCCTGTAAACTCTGTCACACGATGTTCCCTCCATCCCTGGAACGAAACTCTTTGATCCATCAACGTTTTAAAGGCTGTCGGTGAACAGTCTAAAATCCATTTAGCCGCCTTGTTCCTCCGATCGCTGATCCTGAAAGAGACCTTGAAATCATCTTTACTGATAGTAAAGGTCCTAGAGACAAGGTCTGCTACCTCCTCCGCCGGGGTACCATTTGGAATATTATCTATCGCGCACTTTGGGGACCTTTTATGTGGAATCCTCGTGCTGATCTTATCTTTGATGTTAACATTCTGTGCCAGGGCATGGTGTAACTTTGCCACATCCTCCTTCGAGTGACAGCGCACTGCAACTCCTCCTTTGCTGAGCTTCTGTATTCCTTTCAGTGACACCCCCATATCCATTAAGGGCGCATGCCTTTCCAGTTCCATTTGCAGGTCTGGTGCATGTTCGTCTTTCGTAGGAAAAATAAGGAGCGTGGGAAAATCCTTAATTTTCGGTCTTAGGTTCCGCTGCAGTGTCTCTGCATATGAGCGTCTCTTTGCCGTGCCACCTAGATGTGTGTCCTCAGACTGAATCCTTCCTTGAATGACACTTTCGTGAAGCACTGTCGAGCCCGTCACTTTAGCGTGCAAGCCTTCACAGCACTGATATGCATAATTAAGTCGCTTGTGGGCATCTGTAAGCGTGTCCGTGTGCTTCGTCCCTAAGAAGTGCTCCATGTACTGTGGCGAGGGTGAGGACCCTATGGGGTTAAACTCTGTAGTGGTACCAACTTCCATGGTTGGCAATTGGGGGTATTCATTCGGGCCTTTGTGGGCCAAATGCCTGAGGACTTCTAGGATCTCAAGCATGCGCTCTCGCAAATCTTTAGGCAGTAAGTGCCGATTTCGCCGTTCTATAGTGCTTACACTGATAGCTTCCTTAATTAGGGCATCTATTTTTTCGGCATAGCTGAGAGAATCACTGTCGTAGAGGCTCTGCGGGTTTAATACTGCTGCACAAATCGAGGTGCCTCCGTCATTCATGGTGGAAGTTCCGTGGACACTGGACTGTTGCACAGATAGAACACTACAAGCCCTGAATGCTGATTAAAAACACAAGAGTTCACTTGAACTATGAGATTCAACTAGACATTGAAGCTTCACTAAAACGCAGATGCTAAACACTGAGCACTATAAACTGATGCTATAAACACTAGAATTCACTAGTAAAATGCTAAAACGTTGGGAAATCAGACGTTGGGTATTTCTCTGTAGTCTCTTTAAAAACACAAAAATTCACTTGAACGTCGAGATTCCACTAGACACTGAAGCTTCACTAAAGCGCTGAAGCTAAACACTGGTCACTACAGACTGACTGAAGCTAAAAACACTAAAATTCACTGACAAAGCACTTAAACATTGGGAAAATGAGCGTTGGGTGTATCTCTGTATACTCATAAAAAACAGAAAAATTCTTTGGACTCTGGGATTCCACTAAACACTGATGCTTCACTAAACACTGATCTCTACACACTGATGCTATACTCACTGATACTATGAACACTAACTTACACTGTGAAAGCACTGAAGCGTTTGGCAGAACACTAACACACTGTAAAAACACTGAGGAATCACTGATGGTACTGAAGATAATACTAAATTGACACTGAAAACTACACAGTCAGTGCTGGTATTTCTCGGTAGTACTTTATAACAATAATTACAGTATTAATTAATTATGAGATATAAACGAACAGGAAATAGTATTCGAAGAATTGTTATAACCTGTGTGCAAAGGGTATAGGAACCAATATACACAAATTATAAACAGTAATTAATAAGATGAGATCAGTTCATACATATAATTAATTAACACAAATGTCCTATTAGTAATTATGCTAAAATGGGCATAAATGAGAGTCAAGAAGCCATGCGTAGCTTAATGTAGACTATTTAATTTCACTGAGGCAGGCTATGCTTGAATTTATTTGGCAACAGGGTAATTAATAAAAGCTGTTAATTAGAGGTACTGAAACAAAATTCCTACCTTAGCAGCTTAACTTCTTCTGTTTTTCATCTGTTAAAGAAGAGTAGTAAGTAATCCGAGGTATCAAATTAATTGCATTAATTACACTGACACGCACACACACTATAGCTTGCACGGTAAACACGAAGATGGCAAAATTCCTTAAGTCTAATAAATTCGACTTTAAATTAATAACTTCTGAACAAATTGTCCTAATTTCACAAAATTTAAAAACTTGTAGCGCTCTCTGGGTGACTGAAACAATGGCACTAGTGCTGGAGTCGTCGCTTGTTAATTAGCCGCGTAATTACAGCTGAAACAATACAATACTCCACTTGTCGATTTTCTCCTTTTG